CAAAAAAATAATTATATGAATAACTCAACTCAGCAATGTGGTAGCAATTGTTATCCCTATAAGGTAACATGGCAGGTGCACATTATATCCTGCAAATAACAGTAACTATATATTTTTCCGTTTGCTCCAAAGTCATAGAAACCAAATAATTCACTTATAGTCCAGCAATTATTAACCGGTGTATCCAGGGAGAGACATTGTATAAACCAGGGAACCCACCTGACACGGGACACCAACCCTTTTAATATTAGCCAGTGATTCTCCGCATATCCTAATAAAATCCTACTCTGCAACCGGGCGGAGAGGGCGGTTACAATTGTTGTTCTAGTCTGTATTGCCTCCAGGTTTGTGCAAGTGTTGGTTAAGGCTGTAGTTGTTGTTGCTTATACTACAATGCTCCATGGACACAAAATGTTTTCCGTTTGTTTGTTTGTTTGTTTTTTTTAACTTGTTTATTGTTTTGGGTTCTGTTGTTAAAGGAGAAGATCCTTTGAAATGTAAGTTTGTCTATTGTTTTAGTGTTTTATTTTCCGTACAAAATCCCATGGTGTGGGTATTTTATCATTTTTATTTATCTGTTTAAAGCAAACCTGTGTGACAAAATGGCATTTCAGATTCTGTTAATGTTTCAGGTCCTGTCTAAAATATTCCAAGATAAGTAACATCATTAGTCTCAAAAAGTTAGTTTCTCATTGCCTTTTACACACAACTGTTGAACTTGTTGACTTTACAAATAATTACAGTCGTAAGAATAATGTAATTGACTGGGAAAGCCCCACGAGTGCTATGGCGCTATGGCCCATTAGCTAGGAGTTGAAGATTTACTTTTCACATGACTTGCCACGGAGGGATTTAATTATGTCTAGGGAAATCACACAAATACACAATCTGACACACAGTCTGACAAAGTATGTCAGATTGTGTGTGTGTGATTTATGGGATATTGTATATAATTCGGGGCCACCAGATGAGTATTATTGTTGATGGGTATTGTTGTTGTCGATGGGTAGTATTGTTGTTGATGGGTGTTGTTGTTGATGAGTAGTATTGGGTAGTGAACTTGACCCCTGTAGTATCAGCCGGCAGGGAAGAAGTGATAGCCAATCAGAAATTGTGGGGCCCCTGACAAAGCACAAGGTCTGTGTTAGTGTGTGTTAGTGCAGTGAATGCAGAGTGTGTGTAAATGTGTAGTGAATGCAGAGAGTGTGTTGTATTGGTGTATGCAGTGTGTGTGTTGTATTGGTGTGTGCAGTGTGTGTGTTGTATTAATGTATGCAGAGTGTGTGTTGTATTAGTGTATGCAGTGTGTGTGTTGTATTAGTGTATGCAGTGTGTGTGTTGTGTTAGTATATGCAGTGTGTGTGTGTTGTATTAGTGTATGCAGTGTGTGTTGTATTGGTGTATGCAGTGTGTGTGTTGTATTGGTGTATGCAGAGTGTGTTGTATTGGTGTATGCAGTGTGTGTGTTGTATTAATGTATGCAGAGTGTGTGTTGTATTAGTATGTGCAGTGTGTGTGTTGTATTTGTGTATGCAGTGTGTTTGTTGTGTTAGTGTATGCAGTGTGTGTGTGTTGTATTAGTTTATGCAGTGTGTGTGTTGTATTGGTGTATGCAGAGTGTGTGTTGTATTAGTGTATGCAGTGTGTGTGTGTTGTATTAGTGTATGCAGTGTGTGTGTTGTATTGGTGTATGCAGTGTGTGTGTTGTATTGGTGTATGCAGTGTGTGTGTTGTGTTAGTGTATGCAGTGTGTGTGTGTTGTATTAGTGTATGCAGTGTGTGTGTGTTGTATTGGTTTATGCAGTGTGTGTGTAAATGTGCAATCTGGGGAGGGGGAGGGCGGGGGACGGGCAATTTTACATTAATTGTACATTAAATTTAATTAAATGTTATTCCCCCATCCCTGCTTCTTACCTGTGTCCAGGGCGGGGGGAGATTCCATTCCCTGGTGGTCCTGTGGCATGGGGGCCCCACTGGCTCCCTGTTACCGCAGAGGGGGCCCAGCACACTGCCTCTACTCTTCTCTTCTCCTCTCTTCCAATAATTCTCACGAGATCCGCGGCCTGCGTGCCGCGCAGAGCGTTGCCATGGTAACCCGTCTCGCGAGCGTTATTAGAAGAGAGGAGAAGAGTAGATGCAGTGTGCTGGGCCCCCTCTGCAGTAGCAGGGAGCTGGGGCCCGCGGCTGCACACGTAGATAGCGATATTCGCTATCTATGTGTGCAGAGAGGGAAAGTGGGGCCCAGGACTGCCAGAGCAGTCTGGGCCTGTGACAACCATCATGGTTGTCACCCCCTGATGGCGGCCCTGCTCCTAGACATAAAAAGCGCCGTGCAGGAAGGAGAAGGAGCCTGTTGGTGGCCTGGCACCACAGACAGCATGGATGCAGAGGAGAGGCTAGAGTGAGCTGCAGCAGACCCTCATGCCAGCACCACCAGGACCTCAAGCAAGCCACCCTCCTGGACACAAAAGGTAAGCAAACAGGAGGGTGGCCGCAAATATAAAAAATATTACATGTATGTGTCTATGTATGTCAGATTGAGTGTGTTTGTGTATCTGTCTGTGTGCATATGTCAAGGTGTGTTAATATACTATATATATATTTATTGGTATCATATAAATATTTTTTATATATAGAGTTGGTTAATTTATTTTTAATATTTCCCTTGAGTATACTTTTAAAGTCCACCTTTCTAGGATAAGATATTTGATCTACATTGTGTATTTTATGCTGTTTTATTAATATTTTATATATATTCTTTCTTTCTATATATCTGTAAAAAATGTTCCCATAACCAATTTGGACCTGGATCCCAAGGGGTAATAAAGGAGTGAGTTCTGGATAAGGATGTCCCAAATAGAGTGAAGAGAGAATTATAGAGGCTCCGTATGCATCCAACCGGTTTCATCCTCAGGTCTTTTTCCCAGAAGAGCTTAGATACAATGCACACCATTCAGACTTATAAACCCCACCAATTTTTGTGCACCTGGGTTTCCCAAGTGGGTTGAACCAGATCAGGTGTGTGTGAAAACAAATTCCCACCAAAAACATGGCCGCCTAGATGGTATATGGAGACCAATGTGGTAGCCATTAGGTTATGTCTTCTGGATATATAATCCAGTGACCAACCATTGTACTCCTTTCCCGGATTCGCCATCGTGTGGGGGAAGAACACCATAATAAAATGCACATAAAAATTAACATTTTAATCAACATAAATATCGTTCGCCGGTATCTTTACCTGTGCCACTCATGGACACCGAAAAAATGGCTGCTCGCATGTACAGCTGCATCTAAGTAGTCGTGCATGCGCAAAGTGAATGGCTGCTTGCATGTACAGCAGCGACTACGTAGTCATGCATGCGCAAAACAAATGATCGGGCATGCCCGAAAGACCATAAAAATAAACAGTGGTAAATGGTGCATTACTTAAAGGATTGGTGTCCATGAATGTTTACAATGTAGATGAACAAATCAAATGTTTATCAAAAGGTAAAAATCAGATCCACTCATTATGGGCTGATTATGACATTATCGATTAATGTATTATAAATTGGAATTATTGCACAAAATATTAGTACCCCAGCAATAATAAATGGAAAAAATATAAATGTTACAAAGAAAGTATGAAAAGAAAAAGAAAAAAATGATGATTAATATCCCCATGTAAACATCAAGACACTGCATATAAAAGACACAATATATAAAAAATATATATGCCATTAATAATAAAATGAATATGAAAAATTAGTATAAAAAATATTTGTTTTTTACATTAAAAAATGGGTAAGACTCACATGAAAGCCATAATGTCGACATCAACATTTACACCAGGATCTCCCAATGTCTTAAAGGGACACTATAGTCACCAGAACAACTACAGCTTAATGTAGTTGTTCTGGTGAGTATAATCGCTCCCTTTAGGCATTTTCATGTAAACACTGCCTTTTCAGAAAAAAGGGGGGTGACTGTACATTCAGCTGCCAGTGGATGCTATATTTAGAGCCTTTATTAGCATAGTAGGCAATAAAGTCTATGAAGGTTAAAAAAATAATTATATGAATAACTCAACTCAGCAATGTGGTAGCAATTGTTATCCCTATAAGGTAACATGGCAGGTGCACATTATATCCTGCAAATAACAGTAACTATATATTTTTCCGTTTGCTCCGAAGTCATAATTCACTTATAGTCCAGCAATTATTAACCGGTGTATCCAGGGAGAGACATTGTATAAACCAGGGAACCCACCTGACACAGGACGCCAGCCCTTTTAATATTAGCCAGTGATTCTCCGCATATCCTAATAAAATCCTAATCTGCAACCGGGCGGAGAGGGCGGTTACAATTGTTGTTCTAGTCTGTATTGCCTCCAGGTTTGTGCAAGTGTTGGTTAACTCTGTAGTTGTTGTTGCTTATACTACAATGATCCATGGACACAAAATGTTTTACGTTTGTTTGTTTGTTTTTTTAACTTGTTTATTGTTTTGGGTTCTGTTGTTAAAGGAGAAGGTCCTTTGAAATGTAAGTTTGTCTATTGTTTTAGTGTTTTATTTTCCGTACAAAATGCCATGGTGTGGGTATTTTATCATTTTTATTTATCTGTTTATAGCAAACCTGTGTGACAAAATGGCATTTCAGATTCTGTTAATGTTTCAGGTCCTGTCTAAAATATTCCAAGATAAGTAACATCATTAGTCTCAAAAAGTTAGTTTCTCGTTGCCTTTTACACACAACTGTTGAACTTGTTGACTTTACAAATAATTACAGTCGTAAGAATAATGTAATTGACTGGGAAAGCCCCACGAGTGCTATGGCGCTATGGCCCATTAGCTAGGAGTTGAAGATTTACTTTTCACATGACTTGCCACGGAGGGATTTAATAATGTCTAGGGAAATCACACAAATACACAATCTGACATACAGTCTGACAAAGTATGTCAGATTGTGTGTGTGTGATTTCTGGGATATTGTATATAATTCGGGGCCTCCAGATGAGTATTATTGTTGATGGGTATTGTTGTTGTTGATGGGTAGTATTGTTGTTGATGGGTATTGTTGTTGTTGATGGGTAGTATTGTTGTTGATGGGAGTTGTTGTTGTTGATGGGTGTTGTTGTTGTTGATGGGTAGTATTGTTGTTGATGGGAGTTGTTGTTGTTGATGGGTGTTGTTGTTGTTGATGGGTAGTATTGTTGTTGATGGGAGTTGTTGTTGTTGATGGGTGTTGTTGTTGATGGGTGTTGTTGTTGTTGATGGGTAGTATTGTTGTTGATGGGTGTTGTTGTTGATGGGTATTATTGCTGGTCGAATTCCGCGGCCATTTAAGAGTGTAACTTGACCCCTGTAGTATCAGCCGGCAGGGAAGAAGTGATAGCCAATCACTTCCTCCCAGACAGGGCCACCATCAGAAATTGTGGGGCCCCTGACAAAGCACAAGGTCTGTGTTAGTGCAGTGAATACAGAGTGTGTGTAAATGTGTAGTGAATGCAGAGAGTGTGTTGTATTGGTGTATGCAGTGTGTGTGTTGTATTGGTGTATGCAGAGTGTGTTGTATTTTTGTATGCAGTGTGTGTGTTGTATTAATGTATGCAGAGTGTGTTGTATTGGTGTATGCAGTGTGTGTGTTGTATTAATGTATGCAGTGTGTGTGTTGTGTTAGTGTATGCAGTTTGTGTGTTGTGTTAGTGTATGCAGTGTGTGTGTGTGTTGTATTAGTGTATGTAGTGTGTGTGTGTTGTATTGGTGTATGCAGTGTGTGTGTAAATGTGCAATCTGGGGAGGGGGAGGACGGGGGACGGGCAATTTTACATTACTTGTACATTAAATTTACCAGAGTCCAGGGAGAGGGGAGATTCCATTCCCTGGTGGTCCTGTGGCATGGGGGGCCCCCCGGCTCCCTGTTACCGCAGAGGGGGCCCAGCACACTGCCTCTACTTTTTCTCTTCTCCTCTCTTCCAATAATTCTCGCGAGATCCGCGGCCTGCGTGCCGCGCGGAGCTTTGCCATGGTAACCCATCTCGCGAGAGTTATTAGAAGAGAGGAGAAGAGAAGAGTAGATGCAGTGTGCTGTGCCCCCTCTGCGGTAGCAGGGAGCTGGGGCCCGCGGCTGCACACATAGATAGCGATATTCGCTATCTATGTGTGCAGAGAGGGAAAGTGGGGCCAGGATTGCCAGAGCAGTCCGGGCCTGTGACAACCATCATGGTTGTCACCCCCTGATGGCGGCCCTGCTCCTAGACATAAAAAGCGCCGTGCAGGCACCACAGGCAGCATGGAGGCAGAGGAGAGGCTGGAGTGAGCTGCAGCAGACCCTCATGCTCACTATCATCAGTCTCAGCCAGCACCACCAGGACCTCAAGCAAGCCACCCTCCTGGACACAAAAGGTAAGCAAACAGGAGGGTGGCCGCAAATATAAAAAATATTACATGTATGTGTCTATGTATGTCAGATTGAGTGTGTTTGTGTATCTGTCTGTGTGCATGTGTCAAGGTGTGTTAATATAATATATATATATATATATATATATATATATATATATATTGATTGGTATCATATAAATATTTTTTATATATTTCAGAGTTGGTTAATTTATTTTTAATATTTCCCTTGAGTATACTTTTAAAGTCCATCTTTCTAGGATAAGATATTTGATCTACATTGTATATTTTTATGCTGTTTTATTAATATTTTATATATATTCTTTCTTTCTATATATCTGTAAAAAATGTTCCCATAACCAATGTGGACTTTTTACAATTTGCCCACACTTTGGGACTTCTAATACCGGATATGACGACTTTATACTGTGCAAATCAACTACACTTCTGAGATGCGGGCTGATGACGTATCGGACTAAACAACGTTAAAGTGACGTCACACCCCGAACTCACCTGTTTTGAATTTCGGCGATACAAGAGGTATTTAACCATGGATTGAGAAGAGGCAAGTCAGCATTGAGGAAGACCCCTGAGAGGGTTGAAATGCGTCTGCTGCTATCCTTTGGGACTTCTATATTTATACATTTTTCATTTGTTTATTTCCTGCGGTGTCATACATTTAATTGTATTTTCACTTCTTTGCTGGCACTGCTTATTATTATTATTTTGTCCCTTATATATGTCCAATAAATATTTACTGTGCATTTACCTGTTGGACTTTTCATCTCTTCAATATCTACCTTGAAGCCTGTATAGGCACCTTGGAGCCTCTTCTATAGAGCCTGATACGGCTCTCTGCTGTATCGTTCTGCCTGATCTGTACTCATCCTACTGTGCTAAGTATTTTAGGTGTGACCACTTTTGGGAAATATTATTTATTTATTTTCATTATCTTTGTAAGTATGTATAGGATTTGTTGGTCCCCGGGACTAATGGGGGTGTCAATGATAGATGCGAGGTGTTTGTATGTTTGTTTGACAGACTGTGAAATGTAAATATTTGTGTATGTGGCTAAATATATGTATGTGGGGTGAGTGTGAATGTGTCTGATCTTGTATGTGCAACACAGAGTGTGGTTCCATGCTGTGTGATGGATCAGTTAGACTGGGCCTAGGACAAGCAACGTAAACCCACAACTATCGCAGATTTTAGCCCCGTATTTTGTGTTTATATCCTCTACAGGCCAATGATACATTTGGTGGCATTTCGGCAGACTGTAAATGTTCAGACTATGGGTTTGATCTCCCATTGTAATGACACAATGTATGTAAATGGTGTGCCCCCATCCCTCATTATCTGAGCTCTGGTAACAATTGTGTCAGTTTGTGCTGCTTCCTCGTGACTCTAACTTTCACAGCATATTTTTACAACCTGGAGCCGTAGAGGAATGAGGGGCACAGTGCCCCAGCACGAATATAAGGGGGGGCGAAGGTTTGACTGCTGCCAGAGGGATTCTGCCCCCACTCCCTGCATACATTCTGTTATTAGGTTAGATGCCAGTCTCTGGCTGTGGGAGAGACGGGAAGATTATACGGTTCAAGGGACACAAGGAATAAAGAGTCTGTTAGTAAACATTCCGGATCTATTTAACATTGTTTTTACTCGTTTAAAACTGATATCCACAGGGTTTCTCACTAAAGGGTGAATTGTTATGATTTCAAAGTGAACTTCTAATTTTAGGATAAAATAAAACTTTTTCAATTTGGCTTTAGTGGCCTGGAATGTGAAATGTGAGCAAAAATCTTGTCCCAGCATTCCTTCCACCATATACATACACCTTGGGTCAGACAGTCAGTGGGTCTGATAATGTCACTGCGCGGTGCAGGGAGTGAAGCCGGCGAGACCATAGAGACGACATAGAGGACATAAAACACTGTCTGACCCGCGGTGCATGTTTATGGCTGAAGGATCTGGTCATATACTAAATGTAGGTGTGGCGAAACCGACCTCGCCACGTGTCCTTGGAGGGGGCTGCTTGCCCGCCTCTTGCCTTTGGACTATGGACCAGACTTTATGTGAATGTGTTAACCCCGATAGCTATGCCATGGAGCCCATTCGTGTAGTTAAAGACTTCGGCTCCATGGCAATTGAACTGTGTGAATAGGATCTGAGCGCTATTCGGTAGTTTTGTGCGCTCAGATCCCAGCTATCTGGGGATATGTGAAATGTCTGTGTGTTATGTGTAAAAGGTGACTTTATGTATTTTAAAGTGTTTTATGTCTTTTTGCAACCATGTGCTCAATGGAGTCTGCCTCTATCCCTGGATAATTGGATTACTTTCCCCCATTGTCTCCAGGATAGAGGGCTCTGTAAAACCTGTTTGAGCCAGATAGCCATGTGCCAGCCAGGGCCCAAAATATACTTTTACTAACTTTTGAACCCCTGGTCGGATTCATGCCATTTTTAATATGTTGTTCCCCTGAATGGATTGATTGTGAATATGTAATTTTATGTGAATGTGATGTATGGTTTTAAAGTTATGAAAGTTGGGTAGAAAGTATGTTTTAACTGTATGTGTAATTGAGTTTCCTCTCAGGATAAGGGGAGGGAATATGTGGGATGTAACTGATATGTGATTGGTTGTTTTATACCTCCCTGTGGACGGTCCTGTATGTGAAAGGCTGTAATAAAAACCAGGCTGGGTGTGCCAGCACAGGAGTTCCTGCTTAACCCTCAAAGTGAAGTGTCATCTCATTATTGGGGGAGGATTTATTGTATTCTGATCCAGTTTGACTGCTAGGAGTGTAAACCTATTCGCATGGTTTTTCCTATTCAGCTGTATACAACATTCATATGCTTGAGAGCATTCATATGCTCCCACGGTTCGGTGGTTTTTGGTGTCTGCTGCAGTGCTTGGAGTCCTCAGGAAGTGCTAGGAGCATCCTTCAATGGAGATACCCAGTCGGGGTGCCAGGTGATCCGTTACAGTAGGGCTGAGGTTTTCTCAATTTTTTTTTTTACATCTATTTACTTTCAAAACTTGATAAAAGGATCGTTATATTATTATATTAAAATGTTGAGGTGACAGTTGTCTTTTAAGGAAGACTTGCAGATATCTGAAACGCATAAATGAATAAATCTTACTAATTATGGCCTCAATTTAATATTTTTGAGAAAACATAAAATATTAAAAATATATATTGACAGGATGGCCGGCGTCAGGATAAAATAGTAATGTTGATTATTATAGGTTTTCACAAGGTTCACAGTGCTGTGCTTCACTGTGATAAATTAAATAAGATACAATAGGGAACAAACATTCAGCTACACAAGCAAAGTAGGGCTGGGGCTGTAAAAAGGGGAGTAGGGGCGTAAAAGGGTGGGCATGGGCTGTAGAATAGGGGTTATGGGCAGTAGATAGGGGGATATGGGCTGTGGTGGGAGGCAAAGGGGCTGTAAAAGGGGCACAGGGTTACAGAAGGGGTGGGCATGGACTGTAAAAGGGGGCACAGGAGCTATAGAAATGGTAACAGGGGCTCTCCTTCCCCCTTGCCCCTCCATGTGTCTCATTCCATTCCCCCCAGCCTCTCCATGTCTCTATTCCCTCTCCACCCCCAGCCACATCATGTGTTTCCATTCCCTCCTCCCCCAGCCCCTCCACGTGTCTCCATTCCCTCTCCCCTTCTGTACCTTTCACCAGGTGCGCAGTACCAGGACTGACAGGAAGTGCTTTCTCAGTGAGCACTTCCTGCCAGATACCGTCCGTTTGGTACACACAGCAGGAGGCAGGAGGTGGTAGATTTGCCACTGGTGACTTTGACAAGGGTCAACAAGTGATGGTTAGACAACTGGGTTAGAGCATCTCCAAAATGGCAAGTCTTGTGGGATGTTTCTGGTATGCAGTGGTTAGTACCTATCAAAGTGGTGCAGGAAGGACAACCGGTGAACCAGCATCAGGGTCATGAGCACCCAAGGCATGTAGGGAGCAAAGGCTAGCCCTTTTGGTCCGATCACTCAGAATAGCTACTGTAGCTCAAATTACTGAAAAACTAAATGCTGGTCATGATAAAGTGCCATCATGTCAGAGTGCCCGTGATGGCCACTGTTCATTGCCGAAAGTGTCTTCAATAGCGACATGAGCATCAGACCTGGGCAATGGAGCAATGGAAGAAGGTCACCTGGTATAATGAATCATGTTTTCTTTTAGATCAAGGGATTGCCCACAGTGTGTGCGTCATTTCCTGGGGAAGAGATTGGAGAAGGATGCATGAGAAGATAACAGGTCTGCGGAGACAATGTTATGCTCTGGGCAATATTCTGCTGGGATACCTCAGATCCTGACTTGTTTATGTGGATGTTATTTTGACACGTACCACCTACCTACAGATTGTTGCACGTACATCCCTTCATAGCAAAGGTGTTCCCTGATGGCAGTGACATGGGTCTACAGGATAATGCACCCTACCACACAGCAAAAATTGTTCAGGAATAGTTTGAGTAACACGACAAAGAGTTCAAGGTGTTGCATTGGCCTCCGAATTCTCCAGATCGCAAACCAACTGAGCGTCTGTAAAAGGACTCCATTCCCATAAGAGAGCAGTATACATCTACACAGAGAACACTGTATATAGAGGCAGGCTTATTCAATAAACACTGTATTCCATTACTTTCTGTTTATTGTATAACATTTGTGTGGTTTCATGTGGAAAACCTGTTTGCGTCCATTTGTTTATTTTTTTCCAGCAATTGACTTTATTCCATTCGCAGAGTACAGGCATTATAAAAAGCTGAAACACGTTTACTTTACTTTAAAGATAAATTAACTTTGCATTGACATTTGAATGTGGGTTTTACAATATCATTTATATTTTTTTGTTCCCTTTATGATTTGTTACTGAAAGCTGACTAGGCTTCTCATAACTTATACAGAGTTATTCACTAAACTGAGTCACTACAGTGAATTTAAAACCTAAAAGGCTACGCCACACAAAAAAGAGTGTATTAATTAATAAAATATAATTTTGGTTGACATTTTACCTCCCTTCCAAAAGCTAAAACTGATTACCACACATGCTGTGC